CCTGCTTGTGGTAGGAGGCCATGCTGGGCAGCACCGTCCTGCCCGTCAGCGCTGGGCTGGCCTCGCCGTACACAGAGGCGCCTGCGGGCTTCCGGGCCCGGCAGCAGCGGGCTGTGAAGCGCCTCCAGGACTCCAGCGTCTTGCCGGACCAGATCCAGACGCCAGAGGTGATGCCCACCACAAGGCACATGAAGTACTTGAGCATGAAGACGGCGTAGTCGGGCTTGGGGCGGGGGGGGTCCCCCGGACAGGAGCAGTTCTGCGCCCGCTCCCATGCCTCCCGGTTGTGCTGCTCGTAGATGTAGCAGGCGATGACGATGGTGGCGGGCACGGTGTAGAGCACAGTGAAGATGCCGATGCGGATCATCAGCTTCTCCAGCTTGTCAGTCTTGGTGCCGCCCTGCTTGATCACGCTGCGGATGCGAAAGAGCGAGACGAAGCCGGCCAGCAGGAAGAGACTGCCGGTGAAGAGATAAACCACCAGCGGTGCCAGCACAAAACCCCGCAGGTTCTCCAGGCTCTGGTTGCCCACGTAGCAAACCCCGGCCACCGGGTCGCCGTCCACGGAGCTGAGTGCCAGCACAGCGATGGATTTGGCACTGGGGATGAGCCAGGCGGCCAGGTGGAAGTACTGCGCGTAGCTGGCAATGGCCTCGTTGCCCCACTTCATGCCGGCTGCCAGGAACCAGGTGAGGGACAGGATGACCCACCAGATAGAGCTGGCCATGCCGAAGAAGTAGAGGAGAAGGAAAACCACAGTGCAGAGGGCAGGGCCTGTGGTCTCATAGTGGATGTGGTGGTGCTCCGGGTTGCAAGCCACGCTGGCATGCCCTGCCACCAGCCGCACGATGTAGCCCACGGAGACGAAGAGGTAGCAAGCAGAGAGGAAGATGATGGGGCGCTCGGGGTACTTGAAGCGCTCCATGTCAATGAGGAAGGTGGCCACAGTGGTGGAGGTGGAGAGGAAGCAGAGGATGGACCAGAGGCCGATCCAGAAGGTGGCGAAGGTCTTCTCGTCCTGGGTAAAGTAGGGCTGGTAGCAGGGGATGGCGCAGTTGGGTACCTGCCCGGTCCTGATGCGGTTGTACAGCGGATGGGACTCCTTGGAGATGGGGATCAGGGGCGCTTTGCACTTGCAAGTCCGTCCGCAGTCCAGCCCCGAGGGGCGCTGCCCGCTGAGCGGCGTGAGGTTTTTGGCCACGTCCTTGGCCGGGCGCGTGGGCTTCCCGAAGAAAGGCGGCAGGGTGGTGGCTTCCGTGCGGTTGTACCCCATGCAGAGCACCTCGGTGTCCCCCAGCACCGGCAGGCTGTCGCAGCTCATCCTCTCGG